TAATATATTAAAATCAAATGTTACATTGAACATATGAAAAATATGAATATCATATACACATAATATGTACCGATCACTAATATTTTATAACATAAGCACTTAGATCACCGAAAATGAAATATGATACGTATCCTGTGATGACCGGGTACGTAACCCGTCTTGTTTTCCTTTTTATTTGTGATTAGCCCACTCGTGTTAGGAGTGTTAGGGATTAAGTTGAGGCCTTGTCGACCGCTTGGGTTCACCGTTCTTGAAACCTTATTCTAATTCGTGCCTTTATTTTGCTTCGGAGTTAAATTTTGCTTGTTTCAAAAGGCGTGAAATTAGATCAGGGGTGTCTCGGGCATAGCTAGTGTTTTTCCTGGCATGGAGGCAGGACCGCATGTGTGGAGGCTTGAGCCGCACTTGCGGGAGGTGAGGCCGCGCGTGCGGTGAGGTGAGGTGAGGTCGTGATGGTACAGTACTGCTTTAGTTGCACTAGCAAAGGTAGGTGTAGGAAGTGGGCCGCACGTGCGGGGGACAAGGCCACACGTGCGGTAAAGGACGTGCCGCACGTGCGGAAGAAGGCGCGCACATGCGGGAAATGCTGAGTCCGAATTTTCTTTTCCTTTTCTCCTCCTTGGGCTGAGTGTATTTCACTTTTCTCTTATCTCTCTCTCTAAAACACATTTCTCCCTCTTCTCTTTACTTTTCCCTTACCAAACTACATTAAATCCTTGATTTCTCCAAATTCATTAAAGTTTTGACCCTAGTTCCTTCATCAAAGTTGGAGAACTCTTCAAGGGCTACGTTGTGTGCGGTGGAGATTGGGTTTCAACACCGTTGATTTTGGGGGTTTCTTCTCTCTTTCCTTCAAGAACTTGAGGCAGGGATTTTCTTGGACTTATATATACATTTTTTCAAGAATATGTTGATTTTGGAACTTCCTCTTGTAGTATTGAACTTGATTTTGGTCTATGAGTGTTTGATGATTTAAAAAAAAAATGGGTTTACCCTTTGTTTTCTAAAAACTCTTGAGGGATTGAACTATAGTGTTAAGGTGGGTTGTTGTTTTGGAAAACCCTTCAAAAATGGGGGAAATACCTAAATTTGGTGAAAATCTAGAAATTGGAGATTTTGGGAAAAAGGTTGAGTTCTCTTGAGATTTTGTTTTGATAAGGTATTATGGTGATGAATGATTGAGGATTGTCATTATTTTTGCATATAATAAGAAATCCCATGGGATGAGAAATGGTTGGTTTTAATGCTTGTTGTATAGCGTACTATTGATTGGTCTTGAAATGACCATGCTGAAAATATTGATTAACATGTGGAGAATGCATGTAATGTGGAGATGTGATTTATTCCTCGATAGACATATATGTGTATATATGTATATTGCAAAATTACATTGAGAAAAAAGGTGGAAACTTGATCACAATAGAAGGTTGTGTGGTGGAATTAAATATGAAAACATTTTGTAATGTATTGATACATGTTGCATTGGCATTCCTTTTCATTTAACTATTATGAATTTCGAATTGAGGTTTGAAAGCTATTGCATTGACAAAGAGATTGTTTATGAATCAAGATCATATTGAATTGTTGTTGGGGTAAATAGGTTTGGTAAGGCCGGATAGGGGGTGTAGATTGGTATTGTTTAACTTGGCTTGAGTGTTCAGGGTGAAAGACCGAAAACATGCGCGGAGGAGATACCATGTGCCTTTCGGTTAGCTACCAGTAAAGTGGGGATTTGGTAGTACTGGTTATGCCTACTTGTAGACACCAACCTAAAGATTATTTGAGTCGTATTTACCGCTTCTTTGAACTTTATTAAAACTATTGAGTTGTTGAATTTTCAAGATTTTATGGTATATAAAGGTTTTGAAAGGATAAAAATATGTGTTTTTGAACATGACATGGCATAGCATATGTATTCATCCCATGAGATTCTATAAATGTATATATTTTGTTAAGATTTTTCTTACTGGGTATTGTGCTCACCCTATGGGATTTGGTGCAGGAAAAGATGTGGTGATTCCACTGAATTAAAGGCGTGGGATACATTTTGAGAGCATAAGGCTCTTTGTTTTGTTGTAATTATTTTGCCAAGCAGAGGGCTATATGTGCATAGGTTTGAAAAACCATTTTTGTGTAACCAAACATAAGCCTTGGAAACTGTAGCCCTTGAGGGCATTTAATTGTTTTTAAACTGCTATGCCACATGCTATAGATTCACATATTAGGGATGTTGAATGTATATTTGCATGTGGAGTATCTTTTGTAAATCTTTTATTGATTAATGAATACAAATGATGGAAATTCGTAGATGATGTTGACGTTGGGCACTTACTCTCGTTTATGTCTAATAATGGGAGTTGGTGAATATTTATTGAGGAAATTTTTGAGGCATGACATATCCCCAACATTTGACGAAATTATTTATTGGCCTTCAAAATAGAGGGTAAATTACAATTACATCAATTGAGATTTGATTAAAATGCAAATTACTCCTATAATTTTGAAAATTATATTCCACTCCTGAGCTTTCTAATTTTATAACAAATAATCCATTTTATTAATAAATTATCAAATCAATTAACAGTTTTTAATGATGCTAGAAATATGTTTCAATAAATAATTTAGGTAGTTTTATTATGGTATATGAGAGCAATTATAAATTTTATTTTTTTAGTTAATTCTATTAAATAAAAAATTCTAACAATGGAATATTTATAATTTTTCAAACTATAAGAGATAATTTGTATTTATGCAACCCTTTGGAGTGTATTCGCATTTACATTTTGTTCAAAAAATGTACGGTACATAAAAAATCAATGGCTAGGATTGAGCCACATCATTAAAAGTGACCTGCTAAACAGGTCACTTTTTATAGTTATGAGTTAAAATCATATTTTTTCATAACTATAATCAAATTGATCATAACTTAGTTATAACCACATCTCATAACCAACACCATTTTGTTCATAACTAATATCACATATTTCATAATCATAATCACATATCTCATAACCAACACCACTTTAAACATAACAAATATCACACATCGCATAACCATTGATCACATATCTCATAACTACTACCCACATAAATCATAACCACATCTCATAACTAGTCCCTTTGAGTCATAACCAACATCACATATCTCATAACCACTAATCACATATCTTATAATTAACACCTTTTTACTCATAACCACACCACTTTGATCATAACCAACATCACATATCTCATAACCACTAGTTACATAACCAATATCTTATAACTCATAACCATTAATACATATAGCATAACCTCATCCTTTGACACCACTTTGCTCATAATCATTACCCACATATCTCATAACCACTAACACATAAAGCATAACCAAACACCCTTTGACACCACTTTGCTCATAACCATTACCCACATATCACATAACCACTAACACATATAGCATAACCAAATACCCTTTGACACCACTTTGCTCATAACCATTACCCACATATCACATAACCACTAACACATATAGCATAACCAAATACCCTTTGACACCACTTTGCTCATAACCATTACCCACATATCACATAACCACTAACACATATAGCATAACCAAATACCCTTTGACACCACTTTGCTCATAACCATTACCCACATATTTCATAACCACTAACACATATAGCATAACCAAATACCCTTTGACACCACTTTGCTCATAACCATTACCCACATATTTCATAACCACTAACACATATAGCATAACCAAATACCCTTTGACACCACTTTGCTCATAACCATTACCCACATATTTCATAACCACTAACACATATAGCATAACCAAATACCCTTTGACACCACTTTGCTCATAACCATTACCCACATATTTCATAACCACTAACACATATAGCATAACCAAATACCCTTTGACACCACTTTGCTCATAACCATTACCCACATATTTCATAACCACTAACACATATAGCATAACCAAATACCCTTTGACACCACTTTGCTCATAACCATTACCCACATATTTCATAACCACTAACACATATAGCATAACCAAATACCCTTTGACACCACTTTGCTCATAACCATTACCCACATATTTCATAACCACTAACACATATAGCATAACCAAATACCCTTTGACACCACTTTGCTCATAACCATTACCCACATATTTCATAACCACTAACACATATAGCATAACCAAATACCCTTTGACACCACTTTGCTCATAACCATTACCCACATATTTCATAACCACTAACACATATAGCATAACCAAATACCCTTTGACACCACTTTGCTCATAACCATTACCCACATATTTCATAACCACTAACACATATAGCATAACCAAATACCCTTTGACACCACTTTGCTCATAACCATTACCCACATATTTCATAACCACTAACACATATAGCATAACCAAATACCCTTTGACACCACTTTGCTCATAACCATTACCCACATATTTCATAACCACTAACACATATAGCATAACCAAATACCCTTTGACACCACTTTGCTCATAACCATAACAATAGCTATGGTTTTACCTTGGTTAAGTGTTATAGGTATCAGAATGATGTCAACTTGAGTTTGACCTATGCCAATTGCAATTAGTTTATGAGGGAAGGCACTTGTGACATATCAAGGTGATTATAGACTATTTGATATGTCACAAGTGCCTTCCCTCATAAACTAATTGCAATTGGCATAGGTCAAACTCAAGCTGACATCATTCTGATACCTATAACACTTAACCAAGGTAAAACCATAGCTATTGCTCTATAATCACTGTCAAAATCAATTAGCAACTTCATGGTTTCTAGAAATTCAGAATTGAGAAGTAGTCAATTGACTGAATTTATCAAAGTACATTAACAAAAGTTTTGATTAAAATCAATTGTCAAAATCAATTAGCTACCTTTCATGGTTTCAAGTTCAACAACCTTTGAGCATTCCCTGATCCTTGCTGCTTGAAATGCTTCGAATTCTTTCTTAAACTTCTATAGTTCCTCCTCTTGAGGATGTTTTTGTGACCTTGGCTTTTTCAACTTCATGTGAACATGCTGACTATCAGGATCTTTGTCCTTGTTATGTTGAAAAGAATTAAACTCCATCCGTCTAGAAGAATTTGAGTTGCAATGGGCATGGCCACCTGAGCCTTGTTTATTCTGTTCCTTCTTATGCAAATTGGTTCCTGGCTTTTGATTCTTTTTTCCTTCCTGCCCAGCTACAGATTTTGTATCGAATGATAACATATCCATTCCCATCAGACGGGCCACAACACTCAGTACATTTCGTCTAGTTTTTGGTTCTTTCTTCTTCTTGTCTTTCTTTTCTAGCTCTTTCTCTTTGTTCTGTTTTCAAGAAAATGTAGGAAGATTTAGTTTTTAGATAAGATAGTGGTCAACAATTTACTTAAAAAGATAGTTCTGAAACCAGTTTAAGTTTGACTTTTAATGTGTTCAAAAATTTGTTATTTATTTATCAACTCTTTTTCGTAAATAAAAAAAAAAAGTTAAGGGGACATTTAGGGTATGTTTGGTTTGGATTTGTAAAGTAATTTGGGAAATTTTTTTTAAAAAATTTGTTTGGTTTTAACAAAATATCAAATCATTTCAAACCCTCAAATTCCAAAATTACTTTCAAAATATACAACCAAACAAACCAAAAAAAAATTTAAACTCTCACCCAAAAACAATTTTTAAAGAGAACCAAACCAAACATACCCATCAACTCTGAACCATCAATCTGGGTTCAGTCTCTGAGAATATGTAGGAAAATTGCGAAATTTTCTCAGCAACCAAACATCGTATTGAAGAGGAAAAAAAAAAAAAACGAACCATGGTGGGTTTGAACTCTTTCATTTTCTGCAACTTCTTGAGCTCCGCCTGAAGCTTTTCTCGCTCTTTCCCCCTTGCTTCAAGCTCCTCCTCCTTCATCTTCAAAGTCTCCTCTCTTGCCTTCAATAGCTCCTTAGTTTGCTCCTTCTCGATCCTCAACTGTTGAAGATTTTCTTGCAACTCCTCAAAAGATTGATTTTGTTGTTGTTGTTTCGCTTTCGTCCCTGTTTTCTTAGCTTTCTTGGCGGATTGAGGCTGTGACAGGCTCTCATGGTTTTCGAAAGTGGTGGTGGTAGTGGTTGGGATGGTGGTGGTGCAGAAGAGGGGGAGGATGCCGGAGTACCAAAAGGCGGCAAAAACCTTATTCATTTTTGAGAGAGAGAGAGAGAAAGAGAGACAGACTGTGTAATGGCGTCAAACAGTGATGTGTGTTATGAAAGAGAATTAGGCAGAATGTAGTAGTGGTGTCACCAAAAGGCAACCGAATATGACTGTAAATATGGAGGGAGAGTGATCCGCGGGCTATCCTAATTTCTTTGAAACAAATATCCTAATCTATCATAATTTCCATTATTTGGATCATTCTTATTTTAAAACTTATTAGGTAAAATTATTAGGTAAAATATTTATATAAAAAATTAGGGTAAATTACACTAACACCCCTAAAATTTATGTTTATTACAATTCTCCCTTTACATTTGAAAAATTATGCTAACTCCCCTGTTAATTTAATTTTATGTATGATGATCATTACGGTAAGGGAGGAACTGTTATGCAACTTTAAATCTCAGGGAGCAATCTATAATGAAACTTTAAACTTTAGGAAAGGGGTGTAAGTTTCAAAAGGTGAGAGGGAACTATAATAAACATAAATCTCAAGGGGTGTCAATGTAATTTATCCAAAAAATTAAGGGTAAATTACATTGACACCTCCTAAGGTTTATATTTATTACAGTTCCCCTTCACCTTTGGGAAATTACATCTCCCTTCCTGAGATTTAAAGTTTCATTACAGATTCTCTCTTTCAGTAATTTAATTTTTTTAAATACCAATTTTGCCCTCACTGGGTAAATTACATTGATACCCCTCACATTTTAAAAATTACAATGTGTTTGGTAACGTTTACGTTTTCAGTTTATATTTACAAAAATTTTATAAACTGGTTTTTGTTTATTTTTTGAAAAACATAAACTACAAACACGTTTGGTAATTGACAAAATATTTAAAAAAAAA